CTAAAAAGGATGTGGCCCTGAGGGCCCGGCCCTGCTCATATGTTGCATATAAGTATATATATGTATCTATATAGATATATACTTGGAGTGAAATTTACGTTAGATATTCATTAAAAAACGACAATCAATAGTCCTGTAGATATTGTGACTTAAAGTGACAAGTTCTCTATTTTCCATAAGGCTTAGGGTGTGGCCCAAGGAACTGGTAGTAAAATCTTTATATTATCCAAATAACTTTATTATCATCACAGTTTATTTTGCCTCGTCTTTCTGGAGTAACTTAAGCAGTTCCTGGTGCTGCCTGTGGGCCTGCCGCTTCCCTTGCTGCTGCGGCCTCCTTGGCTGCCTGCAGAGCGGCTTGGTTTTGCTTCTGAATCTCAGCCTTGATCTCTTCCTGGGTAGGATATTCAAGGGTGACTCCATCAGGGCACACGTATTTGGGGCAGCACGATGGGTATTCGAGGATGGTGTCGTTCCGTTGAAGCTCAGCTAGGTTGGCAATTGTACATGCCTCACCATTCTTGGGCTGAGGACCGCAGTCATGGACGCGCTCAATGTAGTCTGCGCCGCTCTTGACGCATTCAGCTTTGCCGCAGAAGGGGAACAAGCTCCAGGACTGATTTTCCAGGAAGAGTCGGAAGTTTGTTGACGAGAAGCAAAGTTCTGGGAAGTCTGTTGGAGGAAAAAAGGGCGGTCATTAAAAGGAACACACACACACTTGCATACATTCCTACATACACATACATATATATGTGTTGCATAATATACATATATATCCTTATCAATATATATATGAACATACATCAGTATCAATACAGAAATATATCAATATATGTATATACATATATGTACATATATATATATATATATATATATATATATATATATATATATATATATATATATATATATATACACATGTGTATATTATACATATATTTGTATCTATCCATACATATTTTTTATTATATACATAAATACATACATGCAAACATATATATATATATATATATATATATATATATATATATATATATATATGATTATTTGTGCATACATATTATATATATTATATATATCATATATATTTATATATATACTTTATATATATACGTATATACATATATATTATACATATATGTGTTGACATATATATTATATCTATATATATATATATATATATATAAACGTGTGTGTAATAATAATAGTTAAGGGTTTGCTGTGACATGTTATTGTTACTTTAATTGAATTATGACTGTGTGCGAGGAATGGCCGGGGTTGCCATCCACTGGCAGTGCGTGTGAATCGAATGCAGGTCAGCAAGATTGCTAGACAAGAGCGCTACCGCGGCAGTAGTGTGTGTGTGTGTGTGTGTGCATACATACATATGTATATGCATACATGCACACTTACATATATATGTATATATATATGTATATGTATATGTTTATATCTGTGTGTATGTATGCATTTTTATACACGCACACACTTACATACATATATACATTTATATATATGTATATATATGTGAGTTTCTGTATATGCATGCATACATATATATATTCATATATATGTATATATATGTATATATATACATATATATATATATTCATATATATATATATGTAATCATTCACACACAAACATATATATATATATATATATATATATATATATATATATATATATGTGTGTGTGTGTGTGTGTGTGTGTGTGTGTGTGTGTGTGTGTGTGTGTGTGCATTTATGTATGTATACATATATATGAATATACAAATCTATATATATGTGTGTGTGTATGTATAAGATTATATATATGAATATAGAAATCAATCTACCTATCTATCTACACATGTGCGTGTATGTATAGGTATATGCGTATATATATTTCTATATTTATCTTTCTATTATATGCATTTATATACACATTGGCATACCTCTCAGCACGTCAGCTTTCAGGTCCCTGACGAAGGGCCCTGGGCCCTGCAGGTCAGCCGGTCCCTGTTGTGCGAAGACGAGGCTTCCCAAGCAAGCAATCAGCAAGAACTTCATGGCTGTAATGAAAGAACAGTTTTAGTCTCTATGTGTGGGATAGGCATTTCATCACTGCTTGTCACATGAAAAGAACGACATGAAAATGTACTTTTAAACTTCCCTATCCCCTCCCACTTTTTCTTTCTCACGTACATGCTCATACATATGCATCAGGGCTCTCCCAAATGTAGATCAGGAATTTCCTTGAAATAGGCTGAAATATCCCTACATTGGACAGAATGTCCCTAAATTTTCAAAATTGCATGACAAGGCATCTTCTGTACGCGTCATAAAAGTAAATCCGATTAAAGTTTAATGTAATTTCACAGTAATTGAACGGCTGTAAGCCAATCTGCTTTTTTATATAGGAAAGTGGATACTGGCGTAATGGCTACAAGCAGCATTTGATATGTATTTGTGCCACTACAAATAAATATATAAAAGTAACTTCAAATACCCCTCGGATTTCATAGGCAGCTGAACTAAAGGTGGTCGTCAAGAAGAATGAGGTGGGTAGTTTTTTCAGGATGTTGCTCTCGAGGAATATGATAACAAATTTCCACGCGGTTTTAAAGTCATTGTAATATAAAGATTAACAAAGTTTGTTCTTTGAATTTGAAAAGTAGTCGTGATGCTATTAAATGCTTTCTCTTTTAGTCTATTGATATATTCCATGAGTTGGGAGTGTTTTTCTAACGTGGATATATTACCTTTCTGTATCTGGAAATTCTGGAATTCTCTGTGGGATTTTTTTCGGGTTTCTTTTCACTGTTGAGTTATAACTGCAGTTTGAGTATCCCACAACTCATAAGAATACATGTTGATGAAATTTCATATACATCTTTAAGGCGAAGTCGTCAGAACGTGTGTATACATTTGTTCCTCGCAAATTGGGGGAAAAATCACCCCAAAAAAGTGGGAGCGCTGATGTGCAATGATAAACATCGATGCATTTGAATGTTCTATGGCACTTGAAGTGACCAAGGCAAGGGTGTATGGAAAATGCAGAACAATTCGCGAGGGAAGAACACTGTCTTCACTGCTTGTGCTTAATGCAGAGGCATAAACGGTCATTTAATCTAATTCAACATCAAAATGATATTTCAAATGCCCATATTTGATAAATGGAGAGATATTGATTCGTAGTTTTATCTACTTGATCACGGTCGCAACTGATTCTCACCATATCCAAATTCCTTGAGTGATCCACGGTCCTTTCGCTCGTCCTACCATAATTGGCATTAGAGTTATTCCCTGAATTTTTTCATATGTATTCACACCTTGTTCGCGACATAACGGGAAGTGATACAATGATATACAAAGCATAGAGCTTGGTATTTTGATTGCTAAAACAATGCTGATTGTAATTCGTTTTCAAAGTGCATTCCTTTGCAGGAGAAATGGAAATGGAAATGTTTATAAACATTTATGACTATGTTTTCCACTTGTTCACTTACCTGTGGCAAATATGAACACACCAACTGAAAATACTTGATGTGAAACTCGTCGACGAAACCACGCCTTTTATACGCACGAAACCCATGGACGTTTCTCCTGCGCATGCGCGTCAGAGATTCCATTTAGAAATTTATATTTTACTTTGTCATTCGTTATGTACTTATCCATTTGATGAATAACTCACAAAATATAGATCTAAATGAAATGTTTTGTTAGAGCTGCATTTGTTGTGAAAATCACGGTTAAATTGTTTTCTTTTAAATATCAGCGCAAATTCAGTATCTGGTAGCAGTCGCACTGTGGCAATCCGACCACTTCTTAAGAAACTTCCCAACTTCCAATAAAAAAAGAAAAAAGAAATGAGTATTGTATAAATGGCTTTACTGAATCATAAATAATGACATATGATATAATCATATATGTATGTATGTACGTATGTGCATACGCATATATCTATATCTATCTATATATATCATTTGTGTTTTTGTGTGTTTATGTGTATGTGTGTGTACGAATGTGAGTGTTTTTTTGTGTGCGTGTGTTTGTGCACACACTCACGCGCTCACTCACACACTCATTCACTCACCACCACACACACACACACACACACACACACACACACACACACACATATATATAATATTATTATATATATATATATTATAACATATATACATATATACATATATATGCATATATATACACACATGCTTTTGTATACATATATATGCACATATATATACACACATTTATATAAACATACATATATATACATACACACACATATACATGTGTGTACGTAAATATATATGTATATATTTATATATACATATATACACACACACATGCTTATATAGACATCTATATATCTATCTTTCAATATATATTTACACACACGTGTGTATGTGTAGATATAAATATCTTTATTATATCATATCATATTTATATATATGTATATAAATGTATACATATAAGTACATCTATATTTGTCTATCTATCTCTCTCTCTCTATATGAATATATCCATACTTACACACACGTATGTATGCATGTTTCGAATGTGTGGGTTTTTAAGTATCCCGCTGCCAGCTGCGTCAGACGACGGCGTCCCTTGAAAAAGGCGAGCTTCACCCTCAGGTTTTGATCCGGCGGAACTCCTGAGGACCTTTCCCTTGGAGTTCCGCCGGAGGCCTACAGAGCTCGAAACATGATGCGATCGCGAATGATGATCGGCTGCGAACGACCATTCGGTAGTTCATACTCACACGTGTGTCCGCACGCATGCACGTGCGTACACACACCTATATACGTAAATGCAGGTATATGAATATATATATATATGTATATATATGTATGAGTATATGTATGTATATGTATATATACATATGTACATATATATATTATATACATATATATCCATATTATATGTGTGTGTGTCTGTGTATGTGTGTTTGTGAGTTTTCGTGTACGTGTTGATTGTTTTGTATGCTTGTGGTGCATGTATACCAAT